TGTATTTCTGTCTTGTTTTCTAGTATAAATATCTAAACATTCTTGAATCAAGATGCATTTACTTGACAAGTAAATATATATTAAGTCTTGTTTTCTAAGAAAATTATCAAAATTTTGTTCGTTTTTCCTTAAAACAAGCAAAAATATCTGCCAATGGGGTAAGAAAAATTATCTTAATTCAAAGGCTAAACAAGATTATTTTTCTTGCCCTATTAGCAGATATGTTTGCTTGTTTTAAGGAAAAACAAACAAAATTTTGATTTTTTTTTTTTTTACAGAAAACAAGACATAATATCTAAAATCATTTTACTTGTACAGTAAATGCATCTTGATTCAAGAATGTTTAGATATTTATACTAGAAAACAAGACAAAAATACTAAGTAGGAGAATCATTTTTGCAGTGTAATCTTTAAAACTAAATAAATTTACTTAGAATTAATACACTTAAAAAAACACTTGATTTATGACACTTTTTACACTCTTAATTTACAACATGTGAAACAAACATCTATAAAGTAAAGGAGCTGTTGCAGTGCAAACCAGTGTGTTGTTATTGTACATTAACGCTGCTCGAAAAGGATCCGGTTTGTGATTATTGGTGAAAAGACAGTATTTGTGAGTGTTATTGGATGAAACAGGCCTGTAGCAGTGATCTGTGTGATTATTCCTCCTCTGTCTTCCTCTAGTGGTGTGTTCTTACTAGACAAACACAACCGAGTCCTGCTGGAGAAATAAGCAACATGTGATGCGGGAGGGAAAGAGGAAGATATTCAACTTAGCAGTGTGACAGTAGAGAAATACTGTTGAGAATGATTGATAAAATCACTCAGAATGGGAAGAAAAATAGAGCAAAGAGAGAAAAAGGAGGAAACTCAGTGGATGTGAGCATCAGTGTTGGGGGTAATGCATTACAAGTAACACGAGTTACATAATCAGATTACTTTTTTTAAGTAACTAGTAAAGTAACATTACTTTTTCATTCAGAAGGAAATATTTGAGTTATTTTTCAAATAAGATCCAATTCAATCATACTAATAATCAAAAAACCACTCTACACTCTTAAAAATAAAGGTTCACAGCGATGCCATAGAATAACTATTTTTGGTTCCACAAAGAAGCATTCAGTCAAGAACCATCTCTTTCTTAGCTTTTTATAATCTGAAGAACCTTCTTTCGCCACAAAGAAGCTTTTGTGAAACAGAAAGGTTCTTCAGATGTTAAAGCTTCTTTATGGAACCATTTAGACAAAAAAGGTTCTTCTATGGCATCACTGTGAAGCACCTTTATTTTTAAGAGTGTAGATCAACATAGCATTTGTTTTTCATTATTTTTATTGCTGAGGAGTGTTGTACGTTCCTCTCCTGCATCCTATTCTTCATGCAATCCAGGATTATTTGTTTCACCTCGGGTGTGAAAGAGCTTTTACATTTGCCAAAAATAGAACTTTTTATATAATCAACAAACGAGCAAGCCCAGCCCAAATGAAAAAAAGTAACGCAACAGTAACGTAGTGCATTACTTTCCATAAAATGTAACTAAGTAACACAAATAGTTACTTTTTAGGGAGTAATATAATTGTGTAACACATTATTTTTAAAAGTAACTTTTCCAACACTGGTGAAGACATCACTGGGATTCACAATAACAAAAATCACAACATCACTGTAAATAATTCACAATGGCACAAGCCTGTCCTGTGGAACATGAAGCTTTAATCTCCAGGGACGCTAATCCTGCTCTCTCTGCATGCGGATACTCACCAGAGGAACAGACATCAGGAGGACTCTCACTGAACACCAGACGAACACCGACTGAGAGACTCGACCTGAACTCACAAACTCACAGGTGAAACTCATTTAGCATGATTTTTTGGGCCTATGCATGTTAATGCCATGATATTCTTATAAGAACTTAGGAATGCAATAGTCAATGAGTATGGTATTTATTCAGTGCATGATATATATCAAAGTAACTACAGTATATTTGCAAAAAATGATTTTCTTGCTTAGTATTTTTGTCTTGTTTTCTAGTATAAATATCTAAACATTCTTGAATCAAGATGTATTTACTTGACAAGTAAAATTATTTAAGATATTAAGTCTTGTTTTCTAAAAAAACGTATCAATTTATTTTTGTAGTTTTTGCTTAAAACAATCACAAATATCTGCCAGTGGGGTAAGAAAAATAATCTTAATTCAAACGCTAAACAAGATTATTTTTCTTGCCCCATTTCACTTGTACAGTAAATGCATCTTGATTCAAGAATGTTTAGATATTTATACTAGAAAACAAGACAGAAATACAGAGTAAGAGAATCATTGTTTGCAGTGCATTCCTGCTTATTTCTCAGAAATAAAGGTACAAAAAGCTGTCACTGCGGTGATCACTTTTCAAAAAAGTACATCTTTGTACCTAAAGAGTCCATTTTGGTACCTTAAAGGTACATATTAGAATTTAAAGTGTACATATTAGAACCTAATAGGTATAAAAGTGTACCTTTTGATAAGTGACAGGTTTTGTACCTTTATTTCTGGGCTTGTGTAATATAATACCACCAGAGTTAAACAGTGATTTTATTGTGTAAAGACATGAAACAAGCACAGTGATGGAGGAAATCATTGAGACAGCCATCAGTTATAGTTTTAGACACATATCACAGCACAGAATGACAGCAGCGACCAATCAGAATCCAGTGTTTCTGAGCGCTGTGATGTTTGTATAGTGCAGCTCGTTCTGTTGAGATTACAGTAAGTCACTGATGGTGACTCTTAGTGATGCATGAAGAGCTGTTCCCTCATTACAAGGATTACAGCTCTTCCTCTTAACACTGACACTGTAAATGTGTTTCTTAACACATCAGGAGTGTGTCATTGCACGTGTGTGGCTGTTATTAGATCGTTTGTGCAGGTATTGAAGCATCTTTATACTGCAGAACTGAGACACATAAAGCTCCATATATAGCACAAAAGTGCATTTCCACCACAGCACAGAAGCACATTCACTGTATTTACACTGGAATCAGGGAATGATGCTTGAATGTCATATTGTTGCAGTCTTATATGCAGGGGGGCTATCTAAAATAAGGGCTAAACAGTTGGCAAAGTACTGTTCAATCTCAGCAACTGTAGGAAGCATGTTTAATTGGAAAAGGCCATGTTTCCTGTACCCATAGAACTGTATAATCCATAACAATGTGCAGATTTGCTTTAATCTGTTGGATCATTCAAAAAATTTGATTCCTAATGAAATTTGATTTGTAATGTGGAATCGAATAAAGTATATAAAATGTGTGTGTGTGTGTGTGTGTGTGTGTGTGTGTGTGCAGTGTGATGTCTGCAGGTCCGCAGGACTCCAGTGTTGAGCAGCGTCGGCTGCAGAGGAGAGAACTCATGTCATATCAGGTATCAGACATTCATCACATGCATTAACCAGCTTCTCATAACTACGCTAATGTTCTTTAAAAGTTATATAAATGTTGGGACAAAACATTCTTAAAATATTTTTTTATGGAACGTTCTTATAAACGTATTAATATTTGATATATATTTTCATGATGTTGAGATCAACATTCTGATGTTATTTGCACTTGATGAACATTGTAAGAAATGCTTTTGTAACCTTTAAATAACGTTCTAATCACGACACAAAAACTGGACATTTTAACATTCTTAAAAACAAATGTTCAATAACATTTTATTATGGGTGAAAATAAAGCTAGTAGAATGCTGTAAGAATGTTTTTCAGAAACAATGTTTTTATAACCTAAATTTGTTACTTGGGATGAGAGTGTATTATTATTTTTATGTTTAAGCATCTGAAACAATTTAATTCTACTTTTGCTTTATGGGACTAATATTGCACACAGGCAAAAAAATGTTATTAATCTGTTTTAATCAGCAACATGAACTTGTCTGTGGCTGTTCACTTAATTAACATTTAAAGTGTTGGGGGATTTAAAGCTCTGTAATTAGTCTTTCGCTGTGTGAGTTTGTGTTTGCTGTCTGTTTGGTATCAAACTGCTGCTTGATTTACTGAATATCAAACACGTCAAAAAACACGGTCACACCTTGCCATTTTTGTTCAGGAACAGAAATGGTATTTTATTAATTTTTTTACATATCCCTGAAGTGGTAACAATAAAACGATGCACTTCTTTTGGGGAACTTCTCTACAATCTACACTTCTGCAAACTGAAACGTAAAGAATTGATCATGTATTTGGGCCAGATTGCTGCCATCTGGTAAAATAAAATAACAAAAATAACATGACTTCATGTCAGGTCAAAATCATGTTATGATAATAACGAATTAAGTGTTCTGTGCTCCAAGATTTGATCCACTCAGAAAAATGGCCTGAATGCTCATTGGAGCACATTTGACTGTTACATAAGACAAAATACTAGAACTTACTTCACCTGTGCATATTGTAGTTTTCTGCCAAACACAGTGCTGTTATTCTTTAGAGAGCCACAAGGGGACGCCATTTATCAGTACATTTAAAGCAGTTGCTTTCTTTTGTTGAACCCAGAAGATATTTTTAAAGGGGTCATAGGATGCTACATGCACTTTCACAAGTTGTTTGAACTGAAATGTGTGTTGGCAGTGTGTGTACACAACCACCCTATAATGATAAAAATCCCCCCAGTGTTTTTTTTTAATCTGGTTAAATGTTTACCCCTTTCTCAAATCGAGCCGATCTCAGACGGAGCAGCTCAGAAGAGAGGGGCGGGGTCAGCAGAGCTCATTAACATTTAAAGGGAAATGCTACAGAAACGGCTTGATCTGAAAAGAGCTGTTTTTGACGGTAAAAAGGTGTTTTTACACTACCATTGGGAAATTTTAACCAAACTATGTTACAGACTTTTCATTAAGACCCTAAAGAATCATATCAATTTGTGGAAAATGGGCATCCTATGACCCCTTTAAGAATGTTGGTAAACAGTTGCTGGCAGCCATTGACTTTCATAGTAGGGGGAAAAAAATACAATGGAAGTCAATGGGTACCGGCAACTGTTTGGTTAAAAACATTTTTCAAAATACCTTCTTTTGTGTTCAACAGAAGGAAGAAACTCATAGAGGTTTGAAACTACTTGAGGGAGAGTTAATGATGCAGATGAACTGCCCCTTGTTCTGGTCTCATCTTCTCTCTCTGTGATCCGTGTGTGTTGGTGCAGATTTTCCCGGAGCCGTCGGAGCAGCTGGAGCCAGGGCAGGTGAAGGAGCGTCTGCCCTCCATCGTGGTGGAGCCGTCGGAGGAGAGCGGAGGACTGCAGTGGCCTCCTCTTCACACACAGACCTCCGTCGATGAGGAGGAGGAAGAGGAGGAAGAGCCTTTCCAGGATACCTGTGAGCCCAACAGCGCCGCTCAGGGGGAGCAGATCAATGCAGACGGGTCGGTACCTGCTGATTCAGTCATTCATATACATACGAGTGAGTTACAGGAAGCGTTATACCATATTCTGTGGAAATCATCAGGAGATTATCTGTTCTTGATTCATAGAGTCAATCTCCAAAAAGGACAACAAACACGATAGAAGTGGCATAATAATATGCCAAAATATGTCAAAATTTTATACGCTGAAATATGTTTTGTCAAGTCAAATTTACATCAAAATACACATTGTTTCAAAGCAGCTTTATGAAAAATCATTATCAATATCTTCTAAAGTATCTTCATGCCTTATGCCCAGCTAACACTTTTTTTTTCTTTTTTTTTTTTATACTGGTTATGCGAACATTTAATAAACATTCCCTGAACATTTCCATTCCATTTGATCACTTTCAAGAATTATAGGAATGTTACTTTTGAATGTTCTGAAACAAGCAGTAACATTTAAAAAAACATCAGATGAACATCCAACTCAAACTTTCCGAATAAAACGTTCCATGGGCGATGCATAAATAATGTTTTTGTGCTAATGTTTTGAGAAAATTATAAAAGACCAGATAACTTTGAACGAATGTCCTGTTAATGTACCGTGAAGAATATTTGTTCATAACTTTGAGAGAACCTTGCCAGAACGTTTTATCAGATTAGAACTGATAGTTTACATTTTGTGACGATATAAACAATCATACAGTTCTGATTCACTTTGATAGTTACAGGTGATGTGTGATGAAACGACCTGATAATAACCAGTATGTATGTGACTGAATTAAACTGCTGTCTTCATTTGTTCCAGAGTTCCTCATTTTAAACGTTCATCGATTCCTGGTATTCTGATCGACTACAGCAGACTGACTCCGCCCCCTTCGCCGACATCATCACATGCGGCCCCGCCCCATTTCCGCAGCTGAGCACAAACACCAAAATCATCAGCATATCACTGTATTTACACTCATTCATCATAACTGAAGCATTCAAATGTAGGATTATTTTCATTTAATCCTAGTTTAAAACAACTATGTCGGTAAAAATTGTCGGCGAAATTCTGCGAAAACAGCGGATTGCTTTACGGCAGCAACAGATGCAAGTGTACAGCTGTCATTACGACAGTGTTATAGTTCCCATCGTAAATTGCACTCATTTAACTGTAGGGGGCTCCAAAGTCACAAAAAATAGGCAAAACTACATACAGTTGCTTTAAATTAAATGTTTCGAAATTTTGAAAAATGTCAAACAAAATTATGAGAAATCTCTTCGTTTATGCTGTATTTCTCTATGACTAATACATGTAAGTAAATGAGTGTCATTGATCGTGTGACTCTTTGTACAGAGACGCTCAGGCTCTTTGGATCATCTCAGCTCACGATGGTCATCAGGTTTAGTTCATGAAGCTCCAGACACCAAATACTTTCTCACATTCATGAATATTTCTCGCAGACTGTAATATGTATTGCATAGAAACATGCAAACTATAGTTCAAACAGAAGAGCATGCGCTTGCAACACCAGGCTCGTGGGTCAGATTCCCAGCATGAACTGATCAAATGTAAACTTCCAATGCAGTGTAAGAGGCTTTGGATAAAAAAATGTCTGCCAAATGTAGAAATACGAATGTAAATTTCTCTAGAGGTTTCAGACGTACATTATGAATCTGTTGACACATTCAGATATATGTATGAATAACTGCAGATGATAATGACTGTTAGAATCACAGTCTGCCTTGATATTTAACCCCAATATTGGAGTTGTAGATGATCTAGTATCACACCACATTTGAGTTGAATATATATATATTTTTCAGAGTTTGTGTTTTTATTTGCACACAGCACTTTCTGTATGATGCACAGAATGTCTTCCCTATGATTGTGCTGAATAAAACCCATTTTAATGTCTGACACTTCAGTTCTGGCACAAACAATGAAACACCAAGGCAGTGGGTTTGATTCCCAGAAAATGCATGAACTGATAAACCGATGAATGCAATGCAATGTTCCTGACACGAGCACAGGGGGCAGTAAAACACAAGAGCACATCATTCCTCATGTAACTGTTAAATAACAGTCAGATGGTAGATTGTGTTCACTGTGTCCTGCCAGAATCCCAGCACACACAATAATAAGAGAAGAGTTTACCAAGTGAAGCTAATAACTAAACACAGTGTGCAGTTCTCATTACATGTTCAAAACTATCAAATGAAATTTCTCTCCAATGTTTGCATTACCAAGGAAAAACTACAATTGTGTTGAGAGAACATTCAAATGTAACATTCTCATAATGCTTTCAAAATGTTAGAATGGAATGTTCCTCTAAAGTTCAAGTAAACCAAGAAGAAATGTTCATTAAAATTATTTTTTTGTACTGTTATGAAAGTGGATTAATCTCTAGAGAGAACAATGTCAAAAGAAACATCAATAGGTTTTAATATATATATATATATATATATATATATATCATGTAAATTAAATAGAGGTTCATTTTGTTTGCACATGCTTGTGTTCTTGTGATACTGTCAGGCTGCTGCTGAAGTCAAGCTGTCAATCATCTGCAGGGCCCCTCCCCTTTCAGCAGTGGAGGCGGGGTTAAAACTGAGTTAAAACTGAACACTGCACACTACCTAGTGCCTACTATCAAATTCAACAATGCAAAGATGTGCTGTTATCATGTCACCACCTAACATCTAAAGAAAAAACATGATTTTGCGATTTTGCCGTTTAATCCAATTTTGTATATAAACTAAATCATAAGTCAAGGGAAAAAATCTGATGTTCATTTTTCACACTGCAAGATCTGCTCTACGCTAACTAACAAACATATGCTTTTAGAGCATTTTGCTAAAGTTCTCATTAAGTTATGAAAACATTATTTCTGAATGCTCAAAACGTCCAGTTTTTACAGCAGATGTTTTAAAAATGTTTTTTCTTGGTTTTGTGAACGTTAAGGGAACGTTCCATTTTGTCATTTTGCAAACATTATGGGAACGTTACTTTTAAATGTTCTCTGAATGTTCAAGTAGCAACATTTAAAAAAGATATTAAATGAATATCTAACTAAAACGTTTCACAATAACATAAAAATAACATTTTTGTGCTGCTTTGAGAACATTAGTTAAGAAAAATGTTCTAAGAAAAGATTTTGCTATCTTTCCCATTACATGATGAAAACGTTATTTATGAATGTTCAAAATGTCTTTAAAGTTTTTTAAAGGGGTCATATGACGCGATTTCAAGTTTTCCTCTCTCTTTGGAGTGTTACAAGCTGATTGTGCATAGATAAGATCCCTGAAGTTGAAAAGACTAAAGTCTCAAATAATGTGTTTTTTGAACATTAAAGCATGTCAACATATTCTGTTACACCAAATACACCAAATAATGATCTTTAAAAAAAGTATCATATGACCCCTTTAAATGTTTTAAAAACGTTTTTCTTGATGATGTGAATGTTAAGGGAACAATTTTGCAAACATTATGGGAATGTTACTTTTGAATGTTCTCAGAACATTCGGAAACAAATAGTCCAACTAAAACATTTTAGAAGAAAAAAGTTTGACGAACGAATGTTTTTGCAGTATGGAAGCATGGGATTGGCTCAGATCCCAGTCTGTGATATGTGTATCAGTGTGTGTGTGTGTGAGTGAGTGAGTGTGTGTGTGTGTGTGTGTGTGTGTAAGTGAGTGAGTGAGTGTGTCAGTTTGTGTGTGAGTGTGTGTATGTAGACTCTCAGAGAGCGGGACAGGCACAGAGGTGACTGATGTTCTGGAGCTCTGGATAATCTCAGCTGCAGCGTCGTGAGCAGAAATAGGTCAGAGAAGGTTTGATCTGTGAGCTCACGTCTCAGTCTCTAATGGAATCCAGATGTGCTGCAGGAGCGGCTAATATGCCTCTTTCTCCTCTCGTTCCCTCGTCTTCCTCTCCTGCTCGCTCCGGCTCTCACAGGAAATGCTTCAGGTTCTTGGACCTGAAGGGAACATACCTCTGTAACCACCTCCAGATGGAGCGACTCTCTCTCTCTCTCACACACACACACACACTCACTCACTCACTCACTCACTCACTCACTCACTCACTCACTCACTCACTCACTCACTCACTCACTCACTCACTCACTCACTCACTCACTCACTCACTCACTCACTCACTCACTCACTCACTCACTCACTCACTCACTCACTCACTCACTCACTCACTCACTCACTCACTCACTCACTCACTCACTCACTCACTCACTCACTCACTCACTCACTCACTCACTCACTCACTCACTCACTCACTCACTCACTCACTCACTCACTCACTCACTCACTCACTCACTCACTCACTCACTCACTCACTCACTCACTCACTCACTCACTCACTCACTCACTCACTCACTCACTCACTCACTCACTCACTCACTCACTCACTCACTCACTCACTCACTCACTCACTCACTCACTCACTCACTCACTCACTCACTCACTCACTCACTCACTCACTCACTCACTCACTCACTCACTCACTCACTCACTCACTCACTCACTCACTCACTCACTCACTCACTCACTCACTCACTCACTCACTCACTTACACACACTCTCACACACACACACACACACACACACGTTCACTGTACTGGTTGTGGCTGGTTTATGCTGGTTAGCTTCTGTCCAGATGGTTGACCAGCACAGGCAAAGTATCAAGGATGTTTGCTGGTTAATACTCTGGCTACACTGCAAAAAAAAAAAAATTTCTGACTTGGTATTTTTGTTTCATTTTCCAGTTCAAATATGTAACGAAAAGAAAAAACTGTTAAATCAAGATCCATTTACTTAGAAGGAAAATGACTAAAGATATTAAGTTTTGTATTCTGAAATCTTTTGCTTAAAACAAGAAAAAATATCCACCAACGGAGCCAGAAAAATAATCTTGCTTTCCCTTTGAATTCAGTTTATTTTTCTGACCACACTGGCAGATTTAAGATTTCATAAATTTTACATTTTAAACAAAACGTGATATCTTAAGTCATTTTGCATGTCCAGTAAATGTATCTTGATTATTTGTACTGGAAAACAAGACAAAAATACTGAGGAAGAAAATCACTTTTTTTTTCTGCATTGTGGTTCAAGTTCAACAATATTCTGATTTTAAATTCTGTGTGAGAAACAAAATTATTATTATTAACTAAAACTAACCCATTTTTAAATAACTAAAATAAATTGAAATATAAAAAAAATAAACTTATTTTATTGCTGCTAGTTGCCAAGGAAACATTTATCATTTTCACTTAGTTTAAGTTGAAGTACTAAAATAAATAATAAAAAAAAAAAACACACGCAACAAATTTACCAAAACATTAACTAAAATTAAAATGAAAACAGGAAATATCAAAATAAATTTGATTCAAAATATTAACAAAACCTGTAATAGTATATCAATACTAGAATAACACTGGTCATTTGAAGAGACTCAGAGTACTCAACAACGACATACTAAACTCAGAAAAAAATTATTTTGCATTTTTGAAAAATTTCGTTTACAGGCTACGTTTGTCAAAACGATCCTCGTTCACACAGATCCGCGAAAACGACTAAAAACACTGTAGTGTTCATGTCAGACCAGTAGGTGGCGATGTCACCTTGTAAAGAAACGCGTATCACGTAATATGCATGCACGTGATGTCACTATTTTCTCAAATTCATGTTTTGAGACGTTGACAGTATAATTTCCAAAAACTTGCACTTTGAACCCCGTTTTCAAAAATGTGCATTTTCAGGCTTATCGTGTAAATGAACGGCCGAAACGCATAAAAAGTTTTGTAAACGCCCCTCAAACCTATACAAACTCCCAGAATTCCTCCGTCCATCGTTAGCTCTGTTCCACATCCCCTCTTCTGAGTCTGAGAGCTTCAGCGGTCTGAATGCTTTCATTCCCTGCAGCGAGCGCGAGATGTTCTGCTCCAGCTGGAGCTCGTTATTGTGCTGAAGAAGTGTTTATGTGAACGGCCGCAGAATCACTGTTGACGTGCCAGAGAGGCCAGAATAAGGCTCTTTCACAATCACTGCAAACGAACCCACCTACAAAATATACATCAGATCAGATCAGCCAAATTCTACATCCATCCTGTAGTTCATCTTTACATTATATGCACATGAAAATATCAACTCCACCATGATTTACTCGCCCTCATGTCATTCTTTCTTCTGTGGAACACAGTTAGCATGTCATCTGTTTTTAAATGCATGTTATTGTGAACAATTCATCCATGCATGTTTAATTTTTTGAGGTCGTAATGTTTAATTAGAGTGTCATAACTAGTGTTGGGTCGTTCTTGACGAAATGACTCGAAAAAAGATTCGTTCATTTTGCTGAACGAGACTCAAAGGTCCGAGTCGGTAAAATGATCCGAACTTCCCATCACTAGTCATAACTCGATCTTCTCTCTGTTGACGTAAGCAGGTCTTCTCCAATCATTAAGTGCCCTTAAGCTCCACCCCTGCAAGCACGTTTGAGAGCCACGCCCACATCTCAACATCCAATCAATAACTGCTGCACTGAACCAAACCCCGCCCTACGATTATTCTTTTTCAATAATTTGCTACACTCTGATGTGTGACATCATGTCTTTCCTTTCATCAGGACTTTAACCCTTGTGCGTCCTTGTCCAACATTTGTGTTTGTTTTGATCGTTTTGGCAGTTAATGCAAACAGCATAAAATTGGCCAAAAATGTGTATTTTTATTGGAATGTTAATATTTCACCCTCGTTTCATTTCATACATTTATTTCACAAAAAATAGCTTCACTCAGGACCTTAAAGACAAAAATGTCACCATTGAAACCCATGCAATATTTAATCCCAGTGCCATTTAAGCATCCAATGATGCATTCTTTATTAATAAGCTGACATTCTATTGGCAAGGCTTTAAATATTTTATGGTTTTAAAACTTTTACTGTATGGCCTAGGGAGCAAATACTCACTTTATCCCTGTTTTCTGACAGTTTTTCCTGACATTTCTAGGGAAAAAAGGCCAATTGAATTCAAGACATGATAATTGTGTTTGTATAGATATCAGAGTGTGGTTTGTATGTGTGAATGGTATTTTGTTTTTATCTAACACTGCACAAATAATACTGTAATAATCCCCCCAAAATTTGCTTAGCATTAGTATATAGAAAAAAAAAATTGATTTTTATTTATTTATTGTTCAAAAAGTAGTGGAAGTTATAATCAGGACTCATGTTAGTAAAAAGATCTGTCAGTGAAAAAAAAAAAAAAAAAAAAAAACATGAATATATAATATTTTTATGATCTTTTTTAACAAGGGCATTGTTGTCCTGTAAGGACCTCTGTGTAGCTTTTTTAAAATGATGCACAAGGGTTAACACAGATTGAGAGCATATCGTTATGAAGAGCTTTGTTTGTGTTCCACAGAAGAAATAAACTCAAACAATTTGCTTTTCTTCCTCACAAATGCTCAAATATCTCCTACGACTGACATTCACTTTAGTTTGAACATGAACTCAGTCCTACTGTTACGAGTCTCAATCTTCACTCAT